CATATTTACTATGTACCAATATTATAGTTCGACATTCTACAGTCAGAGATGCGTGGAAAAATTCCAAATAAAAAAATAACCCTTATTTTTAAAAGAAGTAGTTTCTTAGTTTAAACATACTATGTTTACTGTTTTCCACTGTAAATAAAATAAGGGTTTAGAAGATTTGTAAATCATAGTGTTTCTTTGTGTATTATACATCCCAATGTTTTCAGTATTAGGGTTGTGTTATTACTTTTTTCTTTCAGTAGTTTCCACTAAGGAAGGACCAAGTGTTGTACCCAGCATATGTTGTTATTTATGATTAATTAWACCATAAACATCTGAATCATGAAGACACTGCTGTGCACATTAGTGTCTGCTCTGCGTTGTTCTTCTTCTCCTCCTCTAATGACTGCAGAGCTCTGAGCAGATGTCCTCCCTCTGAGTCAGAGCTCAAAGATCAGAAGATCTTAATTCTGGCTCTTCAGCTCAGCTTTGCCTCCATCTTGTGTGTTTCCTGTTTACATCGTTTTCCAAAGCTGTGTGTGAAACCTTGTTAGACRTCTGGTTTAATGACAGCCTGTGTTTTTGTGTGTGCACCCTGTCTCTGTAGAGTCTGCTGGTGTCTGCTTCAACCCTGACCCTCATCAGATACAAGACTCCCAACAGGAACCTCCCCCACCCAAGCAGGCTCTGCTCCCTCCTAAATTCCCTGCTGGCTTTCCTCTAGATTCTGCCAGAAGTCCAACTCCCTCTGCTTCATCTTCCTCTTCGTCCTCTACCTCCTCCTCATCCTCTGTTGATGTACGGATTTCCAAGCCACCAAGGACAGTCTCCCTAACAAGTGAAAGCCTGCCCCGTGCCCCCAGTACTACTGCTTCCTCAGCTGACGCTGACAAACCTCCGCCTGTCCCTCCCCATGCCAAGCAGCCTCCTGCGCCCCCACCCAAACCTTCCAACCGCATCAGCAACCCTGCAGTGCTTGGTGAGTTTCACTCTTCAAACACTGTTTATTCATAAATAACTGTTTTAATTCAGTCTGCTGTTGTTTTAAGTCAAACACAGTCCAAGTATCAACCAGGTTGAAGTTGTACACATTCCTTTGTTATCCAGTTCATGATAAGTTRAGGCTGTTTCTAACAAATGACACCTAAGGAACTAGTAATCCTAAATAACTGGTCTTTAGTGTTCCCTTTGACACAATGTGATTTGATCAACCAATCTGTTACTGTGGCTGACAAGGTTTTGTTACATCCATTTAAAGAAGTACTGATGTTTCTAAACGTGCTACAACTGTGTGACGTCCTGCTTACTGTACTTCAGATCAGTGGTTCCCAAACTTTTCAGCTTTTGACCCACAACATACCAGCACCAGAGACCCGTGCCCCCAGCTCTTACCAGATGATAAAAAATGTTTTCATGTCCAATAAACAAGAGCATAGTAACAATATTTATTAGGCTATTTTTGTCCATTTTAATCACACTAATCTTATTACTGTGTAACAACAAAGGCAAAAAATATTGTTGGTTGTCAGTTTTTAGTGTAATTAATTCAAAAAATATTTTCAGTACCCCACCTTGATGTTTCAGGACCCCACTGTGGGTCCTGACCCCAGCTTTGGGAACCACTGCTTTAGATTATTTTAAACTGATTTGTTTGTCCATGTACACTTCTGTCTTTTTTCTTCCACACTTCTAAGAACAATCCTGAAATTCTCCTGCTGCACTGGCACGCCCACAGTGACATATCAAAACAGAACATTCTTATCTTGATTTAAAGATAGCATTTACAGTTTCCTCTCTGTTAACTATTTCAACACACAAGGTTGACAACGACAGGATCAGAGTGAAGCAGGAAGAGTTTAAATGGCTTCACTGTTTTGGTTTGTACGTTATTGAGTTAGAGTTGTAAACAAGCTGCTACTTTATGGTTTCTGAAAGGTTTTGTCCCTGACTACATAAAACCACCAGAAAATGAGTTTTATAATTATATTCTTTGTTATGTTGTGTCACCAAGCCATGCTTTTTTCCCCCTAGAATCATGAAATTTGATACACATGTGTAACAGCTCAGGACCTAAAGTCTTAGAGTCATGGTCCAATCTCCACTGGAAGTCAGCCATTTGGGATAAAAGCTGCCAATTTGTCTCTTTTTATGCACATGTACACTGATAGGTGTGTAAGAAAATATCGATACACTGAAATATCGCGATATTTCATTTCCTGATACTGTATCGATATTCTAAAGCCCTGTATCGATTTTTATTAAGGTTTAAAATGTCAACTTTCCTGCCAGCCGTTCATTTTTATGTTGTAGTTCAGCCTCTGACCACTAGTTGGCAGCAGTGAGCCAGACATTTGGCTCCTCTACCTCTTGAGCGCCAGAGAGTAAGAGAGCATTAGCATTGTAAGTAAACATTAGTTTTTTTTTTTTAGTAAGAGGTTTTTATTTAATAGAATTTTTGGACAAAAAAATCGCAATATATTACCTTGTTTACAGTATCGCGATATATCGGGATATATCGTATCGTGACCCCTCTGTTATGATATGTATCGTATCGCCAAATTCTTGCCAATACACAGCCCTAGTATCTGAGCGAACTACATGCAGACTTCACATGCTGCGTGCTTCTCTCAACACTGACCAGTGGTGGGAGGGTGTGGGTGTGGCAGAATGACAAGTGCTGATGCCTCACCGTTTACACAGTGATATGGAGAGAAAATAGACTCAAAAAGTTTGTATGTGTGTGTGTGTAATAGTGTATTTGTGTATTCAAATGTACACACAAATATTATAAATTACAAATACAAAATAAAAGTACACATGCACAAATATAAATTACACAAACGTWAAAATTTCACACATTATTTTTTACCTTCAACCTCACAAATCTGATAATTACACATTCAACCTGGCTGCTACGCACACAAGTAGTTAAATACGCAGYGACAAGACCACATTTAGGCACAGATCGGGTTATGAGTGCACCAATCATTTTGAGACTGAGAGCTCCCAGGTTCATGTGAAAGTTTGAAAAGACCTCAGACCTCTTTGCATATGGTTGGCTCCAAGTCACATTAACATGATTTGATCTGAACCAAAGTTTGTGTACGTCATAAGGGAGACCTGCTCCACATTTGTGTAGTAGTTACACAAGACCACTTTAACCCCCCCATTTGTTCACCTTTAAATAATGCAGGCCTGTAAGGATTCCAAGAAAAAGGCTAACAGTTGGTCACTACTGAATGCGACAGTGGACATCAGCACTGTTTGMCGTTGAACATTCATTTACATTTGACACCATAAGGTTTAAGTGTTAGAAATGTTGCCTCACAGCTGAGTTGAAGCCTGGTTTGGATCTGTGGTCTTTCTGTGTGGAGTTTGTTCTCTTCAGTTTGCATGGTTTTCTCTGGGTACTCTGGTTTCCTCCCAGTCTGAAAACATTCATGTTAGGCTGCCTTCATGCCCAGGACTCCTAAGAAGAAGAGATCTGTGATCTCAGTGGAACTTGCCTGGGTAAATAAAGGCATTTTCTGCATGGCTAAGCTTTATAMGTGTAAGGTATAAGGCGGTTTTAGAGTTCTGGATAAAAACAAATTTAGCTTCTCCTTGTTTCTGGTTGTGAGAACGCAGAGTAAGCCCATCTCTTATGACCCGAGGGGTCTAGGTCAGTGGTTCCCAAAGTTATGGTTGGGATCCATMWAGGAATAGCAGAAWATCAAGTTCAGGGTCTTGATGTCCTGAAATAAAAATAAATTTTAAAATGACTGTGAACTACCGGTACTTTTTTCTGTAATTGTTATGAATGGACTGTGATGGACCTGTAACCTGTCCAGGGTGTACCCCACGCCTCACACAGTGACTGCTGGATATGGGCTCCAGTGACTCCTGGAACCCTGAAAGGAAGAAACAGGTATAGATAATGGATGTTTTGACATGTGGTATTAGTCAATAATTATTTTAATTTTATTTTACCATAATTTAGTCAGGCAAATCCCACTGAGATCGCAGATCTCTTTTGCATGAGCGGCCTGGTCCTGAAGGTAACATTGRACATATTTTTGGTCTTTGGAAACTGGAGTACCTGGAGAAAGCCCACGCAAACACGAGGAGAACATGCCAACCCCACACAGAAAGAAACCAGGTTTGAACCCAGAACCTTGTTCCTGTGTGGTGTTGGTGCTAACCACTGAGCTGTCTTGTGGTGGTTTTGTCACAGTAACCCTCGTTTCACTGGTAAAGTTTCAGCATTGGGTACAGTTTGCATGTTCTCTCCTGGTACTCCAGCTTCCTCCCACAGACCAAAAACATGACTGTTAGGTTAATTAACTCTAAACTGTCCCTAGGAGTGACTGAGAGAGTGAATGGTTGTTTGTCTCTGTGTGTCTCTGTGTGTCCCTGTGATGGACTGAGACCTGTCCAGGTGTCTCTGTGATGGACTGAGACATGTCCAGGTGTCCCTGTGATGGACTGAGACCTGTCCAGGTGTAACCCCGCCCCTCACACTGTGACTGCTGGCTATGGACACCAGTGATCCTGAAAGGAAGAACTGGGTATAGATAATGGATAGATTTCCTGTTTAACTTTGACTATACATAGAAACCTTGTCTCYTATGGTCAATGCTGTTCTTAAGGCAGCTTATTTTGAGATATTAATACAGAGCTGTTCAATTAAATWATTCAGGGGGGCCACAGTTACTCAAAGCCAACAGTGCAGGGACCGGACAAGTGTTATAATGCTTCACCTTTTCAGTTTATTTTGTTGCACTGAATCATACATTTACAGTTTACTATTGATTTAAAAAAAAAAAATATATATATATATATATAATACAATTAGGAAAAAAATATATATACAGTATATATTAGGGGTGCA